ATCAGCATGTGCAGAGAGGCACAGGGGTGGAAAGGGTGTGCTTTCAGGGAACTACAGGGAGTTCTGTGTTGGTAAAACATACAGGGCACTGAGAGGTCAAATTCTAGGAGAGGATCCTGGAGCAGTAAGCGGAAGACAAGATAGTTCCTTCTCTCACCACCACCCTCAGCCTCTACCCCTGTTAAGAGCCTATGGATTTATTTATATTTAAGTGTTACAAAAATCAATGTACAAGGTGTGACAAAAGTAGGCTGACAAATGTGAGTATGTGAAACACAAGAGTTCATTCTTGTATTATTATGTATTAATTATTGTATTTTCCATATGAACAACGGTAAATCTCCTTTTGCTTTACCTTGTCTACATGTAAGGAAGCCCCCCCTCTTCCACCTTATGAAGAATGTTTTTAAAGCAAATTTTATAGAGATACTTAAAAGATTAATTGTAATATTTTCTGTTTTCCTCTTATCAAAAAGAAGATTCACTGTTTATAAGAGGAAGAATTAGGATTAGTTCCAGATAAATACTATTTTGGCTTTGGAAAAGGCCCCTTTATTTATTTTTGTATTTAAGTATAGCTATACTAGTTTCAGGTGTACAATAAATTGAAGTGGATGAAGAATATATAATTCTAGTAAAAGAACTTTGGAGTGTGTGTGTGTGTGTGTGTGTTGAATTATTTTCTTCACCCTTTTGTGCTCACCATCAAGTGCTGCCATTTATTGTGGCCCAGCGTCCTCAACAGCTGCCATGCAATGTGTCAAGTCTTTTCTTGCTCAGCGCCACAGGCTGTTACAGAGCTGAGCAAGCCCCACAGTAGACAGGTAGCCTACAGACTGATGGATTGGTTTGTGTTAATACAAACACAGGCTCAGGTGTTGTCATACAGAAACTCTTTTTTATTTTTTTTTATTATTTATTTGATCTCTTTTTACAATTAAATTTATTGGGATGAAATTAGTCAACATGATCATATACTATTAGGTTTCAGGTGTAGCTTTCTATGTTACAAGATCTGTATATTGTACCACCCAGCCAAATCTCCTGTCACCATATATTAGGACCCCCCACTTCCCCTACCCCCTTCCCTCTGGCAAACACACTGCTGTTTATGTTCGCAAGAGAAACCCTTTTTAAAATAATTATTTTACAAAGGACAAAGAACGTTGTAACTCTAGCACCTAATCCTGTGCCTGGCACAGAGGAGATAATCGGCAGATGTTTACAGAATTGAACTTCTCTGTGAATTTCGAACAGATCTCTGAAAACTCTCTCAACTCCAGGAGTAACTGAGTATCTCAGAAGCTATAATACAATTGGAAATGTTGTTGAAAAAGCCTTTTCAGCAGTTGCAAAATATAATTATGGCATATGGTAATATCCAGATTTTTGGCAAGAATCATTCTCTTTGCAGAATACAAATATATCTAAAAGAAACCCTGCTTTATCTTTATCTTCCTTTGTTGTGGAGAAGGATTGTCAAAAGGGGAAATGTCCAATAAGTTGAACACTTTGGGCAGATCTACTTCAAAGATATCTTTCAATCATCCTTTTCAAGTTCACTGTCTCTGTTATATTCGTGTTTTAAGGCTCAAGGTTGTCCTAGCTATCTTTTTAAAAATTTATTGGGATGGCATTGGTTAATAATATCATATATGTTTCAATTGTACATTTCTGTGATACATGACCTGTATCATTGTGCATTATGTGCCCACCACCCAAAGTCTAACCATCTTCGTCACCATCTATCTGGGCCCCTTTACCCTAGCTTTCTTTTTTTAAACAACAACAACAACAAAAATGTTTAAATAGATTTTTGTTGATTTCAGAGAGAAAGGGAGAGGGAGAGAGAGATAGAAGCATCAATGATGAGAATTATTGATTGGCTTCCTTCTGCACATTCCTTACTGGGATTGAGCCCACAACTTGGCATGTGCCCTTGACTGGAATCAAACCTGGGACCCTAGAATCAAACCTGGGACCCTTCTATCCACTGAGCCAAACCAGCTAGGGCTACCCTAGCTTCCTAACTGGACGTTCAACTTCATTCCTGTGCCACCTACACTGCTGGAGAATTGTTTATTTTCTTAAACAGAAAATCAGGCCTGTCCTTCACCTGTTTATAAACCTCCACAATTTCCTATGGACTGTGATGATGACATCTAAAGTGAACCATATATACCATGTGCCAAGTACTGTGCTGAGCACTTTATATAGATTATATCATTCAATTTATACATTTATCCTCTGAGTAAATACTAGAACTGTTAAGGATTTTAAAGTACCAATAGGTTTAAATTATTTGTCTGAGGGAAAAAAAAAAGAAATAACAAACAAAAAATAAATAAATAAAAATAAATAATTTGTCTAGACAACAGCTAATAAATAGTGGACCTAGAATTTTAACCCAGTTTAATTTTAACCCCGTCAGCCAATTCTTTTGGCCTTCCTTTTAACCTGTATGCCATATTACCCTTCCTTTTAACCTGTATGCATATTACAAGTTACATATTTGAAAGAGTCATAGAAGTTTATATAAAAGAGAAAATGATTAAGCTGAGACTTGAACAAGAGGAGGAGCTTGCCTGATAGCTAAGAAGATAAAGTATCTTTCTGAGCAGAGAAAAGAAAATGAAAGACAAGGAGGTGGAAGATATCCTGGTAGGTTTGGCCAATTGAGTGGTTAGGTGCACTGGTGAGCAGTCCCAGATTGTGAGAGGGGTGTCTGGATTGGGCTTAAATCTGGTGGTCAGACTTACCCCGAGGGTGTGTGCAGGCTGGACTGAAGGAATGTTCCCCCCCTCCATGCATGAATTTCATGCACCGGGCCTCTAGTATTTAACAAAGAAGATGGAGAATAAATGAACATTGTAAAAGAGGTATCATGAACCACACATATTAATCAGTTGAATTTAGTAGGAAAGAGAGAGATGCCTAGAATAAATTACAGGTTCCTTTGAAATAAATCAGAACTGTTACCAAGGATTCACCTCTCTTCCCAGTTTCTGGCACTATTTCTCTATGGATCATGAGACATTGATATGTGTTTTATTGGAGCAAAATATAATATAAAGACTCAGTGCTGCTTTTCTTATCTAAAAGAAGACACTCCCCACACTTACATAAACACCCTTGTTGATCATTTTAAATGAATGGCAGCCCTAGGATATGGTTTTTCAGTGTCTGCTTTAATACTTTGGTCTGAACATGTATTTCTATGCTAATTAAATTAGATTTGAACATTGATAGAATATGAAATTACGGGTATTAAATTTCAGAATCTCTTAAAACGAGCCCCATAACTGTGGTATATGGTTGGATCAATAAAAATCCTTAATGTGAAATACTAGAAATGCTTTCAAGTTCTTTTTGTGAAAGTCAGAAGCAAAGAAGTTAATAGTATTTGTCCAATTAATTAGTACAATTAGTAAAATAGGACACATTTTCAGTAATGACCATGTACTATAAGCTGTGGGCATGACATTGGGTAAGATACTACATTGGAGTCTTAGAATTGGGGCTGGAAGGTCATCAAATACTGTGCTTCTTAGTCTTTGAACACGAGAAGATTTCAGGTGAACTCCTTGGAATTATTTATAAAATTGTGTGAGAATGTTTTGTCATCTGTGTAATTAAAGGGGAATTTTTATCAGATGCACATAGGCTTCTCTTATTAAAAAGCCATCTCCATTTTTACACAAGGAAACAGACTGAATGAGGTCTTGAATAAGTGCTCTTGAAAAGGCATTTTTCCCTATGATTTTTTAAAAAATAGAGTTTTAATGTAGAGGCCACCGTATCTGTGACCTTGGGACCAGAGGGTTCTGGGTATTAGGAAGCCTTGGCTTGGTTTTTCATTGAGAGCTGTCTTGTGATTTTAAAATAACAGAATCTGCCATCATTCAGAACCTGCTATCATTCTTCCATCATAATATCTCAGGACAGTATTTTTAAAGACATTCTAAGAAGGCTGTTAATTCATTAAGGGTTCTACAGGAAGGGAAGCTCTTTTTTTAAGCTCACTTTCACTGACAAGATCAGGCCAGAAAAAGCTTAGCTGGCTATTGGCCCAGACAACATTATGGTCATTGAAGTGTGCTCAGCCTTGCACTGTCCGGGTATTAGGGGGAAAAGCAGAGGTGCATGCTGAGTGTTTTTACAGTGACTTAAGTAAGTCTTTTGCTGTATTGTTCATTCATCTATTAGAAAGGGAAGTTTACATGACCTAGAATATGACTTTTTCTAGAAGGGTGAAAAGGATAACTTAAACTTTATAAACAAATAAAGCAAGTTATTCACAGCTGTATCCCAAGCCACTAAAACAAGGTCTAGAACATAATAGATGTATAATTTTGATGAAATAATTATTCACATTTATTTTGTTATCCATGTCATATTTCAGAATAAGAACATTTTTCATTTGTCCATTGATAAATTGCATATTGTACTGTCAAGATAGTAAAGTACTAGTAAAAAAGGACCGATTGAACTTTGAGACTCCTGATTTCACCCCAGTTTCTGCCGTTTATTGTGTGACCTTGGGCCTCATTTTCTTTTTCCTAATGGGGTATGATAATATCTACTTCACCTACCTTCCCTCTGAGGTTTGACAGTCTGATCATTGCTTCTCTGTCTCTGGATCTGTTACTGTTCATCAGTTTATGTTGTTCATTATATTCCAAATGAGTGAGATCATGTTATATTTATCTTTCTCTGACTGGCTTATTATACTTAGTATAATGCTCTCCAGTTCCATCCATGCTATTGCAAATGGTAAGAATTCCTTTTTACCACAGCATAGTATTCCATTGTGTAGATGTGCCACTCATCTGCTGATGGGAACTTAGGCTGTTTCCACATCTTAGCTATGGTGAATTGTTTACTAACTATGAAGAATAGTGGTTTATTGATGAGATTCTGGACGTCCCTTACTTGGGCACCTTTCGCACGAAACGTCAATTTTGAACCAGTTAATCCACAATGCCCCATCTTCTTTCCAGGCTTTGATGCGTCCTGGAAGAATCGATAGAATCATCTATGTGCCTTTACCAGATGCAGCAACAAGGAAGGAGATATTTAACCTGCAGTTTCACTCGATGCCAATCAGTCAGGACATTGATCTGAATGAACTCATCCTCCAAACAGACACATATTCTGGAGCAGAGGTAAGAAAGTTCTCAAAATTTATTAGTGGGAGGAAAGTGGTGGTATGGAGTCATTAGCAAAAAGACTGCTTGATGCCAATTGTTTTAAATAACTGTATATTAAAAAATATATATTAAAACAAGAAATGGGGAGAGAAACCAAGATGGCAGCATAGGTAAACACCTAAACTGCACAACAATTTCAAAACTACAACTAAAAGACAAACGGACATCATCCAGAACCACAGGAAGGCTGGCTGAGTGGAAATTCTACAACTAGAAGGAAAGAGAAAAGCACATTGAGACTCAGAGGAGCTGCAGGAGGCAGAGGTACTGAGACGTGTGCGACTGGCAACTGAGCGCGCAGCTGGCTTTCTCAAGTGGGAGGGAGACAAAAGCTCCCGACTGTGCTAAACTCCAGTTACAAGTGAGACTCTGGGGACCCAGACTCACACTTCTGAAACTGGACTGTCCGGAAAGAGAAAAGCACACTGAGACTTAGAGGAACTGCAGGAGGCAAAGGTTTGGAGGCGTGAGCGTGGAGAGGGCGGGCAACTGAGTACAAGGCTGGGTTTCTCAAAGAGGAAGGGAGACAACGCTCCCGACTGCACTGTATTCCAGTTCCAGGCAAGACTCCGGGGACCCAGACTCATTCAGGGACAAATTGGACTGTCTGCCAGTGGGCGGAACTCGAGGGTGGCTTTCTCTCAGAGATTCTTGAAGCGATTATCACAGGACACTGAGACTCAGGGGCCTTGTAGGACAGGGCTGATGGGAAACCAGTGCTGTCTGCTCTGCTCTGAGACTCTGCCCCAACCAAGCTGAGCAAGAGGCTTTTGCAAGTCTTGTCTCACAAGGTGTCTCTGCACAGAAGTTCTCCCATCGCAGACACAGTTGAGCCTCACAGCCAGTTGGCCTGAAGGTCACTTCCTCACAGTAATACCATAACAATCAAAGCTTAACTACAACAAGACTATGCACACAGCCCACCGAGGGGTGCACCAAGAGTGTCCACCTCAGGTAACTGGGGAGGCTGAGCCACTGGGCCTTATGGGACACCTATCAACTCAGGGAAGCAGCTAAAATACGGAGACAAAGAAACATCACAAGTGAAAGAAATGGAGGAAAACAAACTACTGGATATAGAGTTCAAAACCATAGTTGTAAAGTTTTTCAAGAATTTTCCAGAAAGTCCTAAAATTTAGCGAGACCCTCGAGGATATGAAAAAGGGCCAACTAGAAATTAAGCAAACACTGACTGAAATAAAAAATAATATACAGAAATCTATCAGCAGACTAGAGGAATGCAAGAGTCAAGTCAAAAATTTGAAATACAAAGAAGCAAAAAACACCTAACCGGAAAGCAAAAAGAAAAAAGAATCCAAAAAGGTGAAGATAGTGTAAGGAGCCTCTGGGACAACTTCAAGCATACCAACATCCAAATTATGGGGGTGTCAGAAGAAGAGAGAGAGCAAGATACTGAAAACCTATTTGAAGAAATAATGATAGAATTCTCTCTCCACCTGGTGAAAGGAAGTGCACAGAACCTTAAACAAAGGGAATCCAAAGAGGACCACACCAAGACACATCATCATTAAAATCCCAAGAGCAAAATTAAAAGAGAAAATATTAAAAGCAGCAAGAGAAAACCAGTTAGTTAGCTACAAGGGAGCACTCATAAGACTGTCAGCTGATTTCTCAACAAAAACTATGTAGGCCAGATGGGAGTAGCAAGAAATAATCAAAGTGATGAATATAGCAAGAACCTACAACCAAGATTACTCTACCCAACAAAGCTATCATTCAGAATTGAAGGGCAGATAAAAGAGCTTTACAGATAAGAAAAAGCTAAAGGAGTTAATCACCACCAAACCAGTATTACATGAAATGCTGAAAGGTATTCTTTAAGAAGAGGAAGAAGAAAAAGATAAAGAAAAAAATTATGAACAACAAATACATAACTATCAACAAGTGAATCTAAAAATCAAGTGAATAAAAAAATCTAATGAACAGAATAAACTGGTGAATATAATAGAATCAGGGGCATAGAAAGGGAGTGGACTGACCATCCTCGGGGGGAAAGGGGTGCGGGGAGAGACTGGTCAGAAATCATACACCTATGGATGAGGACAGTGGGGGGGGGGCGGGGAGGTAATGGCAGAGGGTGGGCTTGAAACCGGGTGGAGGGGAGCTATGGGGTAAAAAAAAGAGGAACAATTGTAATAATCTGAACAATAAAAATTTATTAAATTAAAAAAAACAAGTAATGCACTGCATGATAGGTGATCACTGAATGAGATTGCATTTTACCCGACCTCTGTTATATCTCAATTGTTTTTACCTGGCTCCTGTTATTGCTCAAAATGTAGTTTTCAGAAAAGTAGCAGGATTCCTCTTTGGAGCTTCTTGAGACAGTAGCTTCCAACTATACTTCTTTGAACTTTGATCTCTGGGCCTATTACTGTGGTCGGCAAACTGCGACCCTCGAGCCACCTGTGGCTCTTTGAGCCTCTTGAGTGTACCTCTTCTACAAAATACTACAGCCTGGGCAAGTCTATTTTGAAGTGTCATTAGAAGAAATTTAAGTTGAAAAAATTTTGCTCTCAAAAGAAATTTCAGTCATTGTACTGTTGATATTTGGCTCTGTTGACTAATGAGTTTGCTGACCACTGGCCTAACAGATGGAAATGACATATACAGTTGCCTACTGTTTTCTCATAGAGATCATATAAGTGAAATTAGGATATCATGATAGCACTCTGAAGTTCAAAAGACCTGGCCAAGAGATTGTATCATTATTATCTTTTATCAAAATTTTGGGAAATTATCTCAGTCTACTTGTGTATTGTCAGAAATTCTCTTATAAAAACTGTAAAAGAGATAGTCTACCGTAAATTGAAAATATACTCAATAAGAGCAGCCAGAAGAACTCTGTGAAAATGGAAGGCTTTAAGTATGGCAGATAAACATTTTTTTTTTTTTTTTTTTTTTTTTTTGGTCCTTAGCAACTGTTTACTTAGGCTGTTTTTATTTACAAAATATAATTCTATTAAAATAATTGTGCATCTTTCTACATGCATTAAGAAAAGGACAAACTTAACAGAAATACCTTCTTAGTACCATTGTCAAAGTATATTTATACTGGGAAATTGCTATTTTTTTATCTAAGATATTGTAGATTCTTTCATTCAGAGTTATCTAGCAGATTGGAACTGAATTCTATTTTGCTTGCTATTGTTTTTCTCTCTCTGCTATAAAATCCAGAGATTAACACATTACAGGTTGTTTAGTAGCGCTCAGAGAATACATACCGTGTTTCCCCGAAAATAAGACATCCTCCAAAAGTAAGACCTAGCGCAACTTTGGGAGAAAAAATTAATATAAGACACTGTCTTATTTTCGGGGAAACAGGGTAGGTCAGTTTATATAATACAATCATAGATCATAACTACCAAATAGATTCCAAAGAAATTTGTTTTGCCTCAGGTATGAACTATGTATATTATGTTCCCCCTTTAGGTTTTTCAGTTGCACTGGGAGGAGGAAAAGGGAAGCGATGTAGAAAGTAGCTTAAGATGCAGATGAAGGGCATTTACTTTTAAGTTCTATCTGAAACAATAGTCCTAACTAATGAGCATCTCTTTGGCATGACTATCCATTATGATAAAATGAACATGTAACTACTGTTGACTGACTGCTGCCACATTTCAGGAATTCACTTTTTGATGTGAGACCAAAGGCTGGCATCATGTACATGATATGTCCGTTTACAGGAAATGGCAAGGAGAAAACACCATAAATCTTTCACTTTAGCTGAATGAGCAGGAAGAGTAGTTAGCAAGGTATAAATGTGTCTTTCTCACTTTGAAGTAATTTATGGCAGTAACAGAGAAGAACAAAACAAAAATCAAAGCCAGTGAGGTTCTGTCTGGCTGAAAGGAAGAAACTCAGGTGATGCCAGGAATTACTATACCAGCTTGCTAGTTCTTATGTGGTGCATGCCTTATTTAGTCTCAAATACAAGCACATTCGTTTCTGATTAATATTTATATCAGATCTTCTAAAAATAGTCACAGGAAAAGTACCAAAAAATTCTGTTCTTCCTTGAATTACATTTTTCGTATCCCATAATGCTTGAGTGTGGGAAGGGTATCCCACTGTGGTCCTAATTATAATGGGTATCGTCAAAATTTTGTTCCAGAGCTATATCTTACTAAGCCAGAGGTTTTCAACTTTGACAAAACAGGTTTGTATAATACTTGGGGGGTCTTTTTTGAGAACTATTATCATTTTTTTTAAATCTTCAAATTGCCCTGGCCATTGTTATTAAGTGGTTAGAGCATCAGCCTGCATATCAAAGTGTCTCAGGTTCAATTCTCAGTCAAGGGTAGGTACCTTGGGTTGCAGGTTTGCTCCCTGCCCTGGATCCAGGTGCATGCTGTAGACAACCAGTCAATGTGACTCTCTCTCACATCTGTTTTTCTCTCTCTCTCCCCCTCCCTCACTCCCTTCCACTCTCTCTGAAAAGCAATGGAAAAAATTTCCTCTGATGAGGATTACCAACCAAAAAAAGTCTTAAAATTAATAAATAGGATATGTAAGAGATAAAATTTAGCTTCAGATAAATATATGATCTCATCAAAATGAAATGGTGCTGTAATGTTGAGAGCCAAAATTAGTTTTGATTTTTTTTTTTAAATAATAAAAGAAATTCAAAGCTATCAATAGAACCTCAGTCACCTGCCTCCTACAGACTCATTACTTTACCACTGATGTAACTAATTTATTTTCTCCCCAGGCTAAGGCCATATCCTTCATCAGAGAACCTTAAATATATGCTTCTACATAGCATATATTTAACAGTCATTAAAGTGAAAAGAAAAAAAAAAAACTAAACCAAAAAAAGAAAAAGATTTTAAAAATTATATTTAGGGAAAATTAGCTTTTATTCTCATTTGTCATAAGAGGAGTCCTCTAACATTGTAGCAATGCACCCTGCTACAGGTACAACCAGTGTTTCA